TAGCAACAAAACCAGTCAACTAAGAAAATTGATCTCCACAGACAGATCACACATGCCACACGCAGTCTGCTTCTATCAGGACGAGGAGGGCTACATCTGGCTTTCTTTGCACCTCAATCCCCCTTTTAAATATCCGAATGCTCTACCTCGTATTTATATTATTGGGTTTGTGTGTTTTTATGGATTCCCCGCTGATGCTGGCGCTTTGTCTGCAAATGTAGTTCCTCACGGATAAATCATAGACTGCATATTAGAAGTGGACCGACCGAGTGCAGACAATATTTTTGAGCCGTAGTATAACACACGTATTGCTAGTAAGAAACTGACACTTTTAAGACCATATCCTTTTATAATTGCCCACCTGAGTTTTGGTCTGCCCACCACAGATCAGTGGACAAGAACCTGAAGGCCTGCTCCTGCACACAGGTCATGTTCAAATCTGAAAGCAGGACTGAGCTCACGACAGATTGAATTACCTTCTCAGACTAACTCCGTAATGTTAAATGACTCCTGGGTGAGAGTGGACAAGTCTCCATTAAAATGTTGGTCCGGGTGACTTTTCTTCTACAGAACATTCCCGGGCGAAGGCGGGATCATCACCTTGAATCTAAGCTTTTATAAATAGGTGGTGTGGTGCAGTGGGCAATGCACTTCACTCCCATCCAGAGACTCTGCGCTTCTGACTTTGCCTCCTTTTGTTGTTGTACTTTATATTTATTTACTTTATAAAAAACAATATACACCATATGTTTTAGTTCCCTTTTATAACTGTATTTATAGCATGGTCAGTAATTTTTATTATTTATTAATTCATTTAACAATAATAATAATAATAACAATAACATTGAACGAACCAGATGCATTGTTGTCAGTTTTATAGCACATGTGCTAGTTTTAAACACTAGTACACAGGGGGCTTTTACAGATGACACTTTCAAACAAATACAATAAATGTATACATGAGAACACCTCAGAACAGTTTTAGTCCAGTGGGGAGAGAATTCCACAGTTTAACCCTCTTGAAGGAGAAGCTGGATTGTCCAAAGGATTTCCTGAGCTTCGGGAGCACACGGTCCACACTGAGTGAGGCTCTGGTGGAGGCTCTAAGAGCAGACTGACGTTTCAGCATCAGCCCAGAGAAGGTGGAGGTGACACACAGTTGTTCAAACATGTAAAAGCCAATGAAGACATTTACAAAAGTTTCAAAAGTAAAAAGCATGCTCTGTATGATATCACAATGATGCCATGTTTTTTTGTGCCCATAATCTTAACCTTAATAGAGGTTACTGGTTTGAGAATAGAAGCTGATGTTTGAGACCATGCTGTGACATAATAGGACTATTATTTTACAATTATTCCATATCACTCCATCTGATTGGTTACCATAGCAACACACAACATTGAGAGCAAACAGTTTCATTATAAAGTTACATTTAAAGCTCTGTTATACAACAGGAGACTGAATTTAGTTGCTAAACATGCTAACTCTGAATTGTTATGAAGAAATTCATGAGAAGCAAACTTTTTCTCCTATGTGTGTGTGTCATATTGGTCATGACAACAGTTGCTAAGGAGCTTTGGTGTTATATTAGAAATTATATATTTTCTAACATGATGCATTGATTTGTTCGTCACAATATCAAAGAGACCCTGTCCTGCTTAGCTTCAGAGGTATGATGGTATCTGACTTTCACATGCAGGTGGTGCCACAATACTGTACAATGTAATATGTATTGCATGTTACTCATAACGTCATGAGTGTGAGTCTGACCATGGTAGAGGTGGATTTAACAACCTATAGCAGTGTGACTAACATCATATTTAACCATTTCCCTATTTTTGTAACGTAAACCAACTGTGAGTGCTTTTTCTACCCAGCACAAAGAACCTCTCAGAATATAATTTTTTTTCTTTTGATGAAGTCGTTGCATTGTAACGATTGTCCTTTTGTGATTACAATTCCTGTAGAACCATCCCTAAACTTTTGTTCTGGCATTATTAAAGGCGGATTCTATTGTACTTTCTCTCAGTAGTCTTGTGTGGCTTTTGAAAACGTCCCAGTTTCATTTCAGAACAAAATCCTCCTTTTATTGGCCGACATGTGCCGCTCTACGCTGCTCCAAGCTCCTTCTATGTCTTTGATAGTAAGCCTTTTGGGGAACAACGTGTACGAACAAATTGTGCAAATGATTTGAATTCAGATGGAGGGCTTTGTGATGAATGAAAGTCTGTGCTATACTGTTAAAAAACGTGTCAGTTTTGCAATTGTATAATCTCATTGTATTATCTCCATAACGGTTTGCCATCACAGAAGTTTTGTCATTTAGTTAGACATGAAACTAATATCCTTATACATGCCCATGGATTTAATGTCTCCACGCTCATATATGGGAGTGTTCAATAAAATACAATTCAACTATTTATTAAAACTTAGTGGTCCAGTTATTATGTTTACAATCACACTTTTGTTGCCAGATTCTTCCTGTCTGTGATATGTAGCTTCTAAACTCTGATGCAGACCACCTGCTGGAGTTTATCTTGCAAATGTAAAATCTCTCTGTGTTTTATATATGCCCACTTATTTCCATATCTGCTTTCAAACAAGTGTGTGGTGCCATTTGTTTGTTTGTCCATGTTATGAATACAGAAATAGCCAAGATGCAGCTACATTTTATCTAACAAACTGGCAACCCAATTAGAAGCCTTATTCTTCTCTTTGATTGGATGATCTGCTAAACACACATGTTTTGGAAATTGTGTGTACTGTAAGTTTGATTAATGATAACACCTAAAATGTGACCTATTATCTGGAGAAACATATAAAATATCATGTAAATTAAAATGTAGTGGCTTGCCATCATGGTGTTAGATTTACACTGAAAAAACAATCCAGGTAAACCATAGTAATAACAGTCTGTCCTTTTTGAGGCACTTCAATCACAACAAATCTGACAAAAAACAAAACTTTGGATGTTGGACTGCAACATCTAAACATAATTGATATTTTTTTTAGCTCCTGAAAGATCAGTAAATATGGTAATTCCTATATATTTGACCAAAACAAAGCACTGGTGATGCTCCTGCAGAATATATTCATAGAATTAAATACTTTGTAAAATCCATTTATCAATTCAATTATCTGAGTCAGAAAGCCTCTTCTCAGCTTGTTTAACTTGTATTTCGGTTAAAAAAAAAAAACATTAGGTGCTTATTAAATCAATTGACAACTATTTCAATGAATCATTAATATATTACTTTCCCCCCCTGGATTTTGTTGAGTTGTTCCTAATCAAGCCAGGAGGCTCCAAGGACAGTGGTCCAGGACATTTAACAACATTTATGAATCAATGACTCAATGTGTTTTTTATATTTGCACTTCCAGAGTTTGATTCTCTGATCTGTTCTTGGCGAATCGACAACTTTGTAAAATTCTAAATAACTACTGTTGTGATTTAGGGCTATACAAAATGAATTGAATGGAATGGAATTGAAATAGATATGTAATTAAAGGCAGTAAACCTATACAGGAAGATTCAAAGTATCTTAGAACTGTGCATGTATTATCCATATTTGTGATCCTAGTGGTAATAAATATCCCGCATCACTGTTTCTCACTATTTTTGAGTTACATATTTCCATTTTCTCGGTGAGGTCATTCCAGGCTCAGCGCTGACCCCTTCTCACAGCCTTCCACAGCTTCAGCCTGAGTTTATCAGTGTTCATGGACCATTGTTGAGCAGCGCAGACAGCGAGGCCATTGTGCGATAAGACTTTCATTTTCACATTTGCTTGTAGCCAGAAGCAGCGCAGGAGACAGGAGCTCTAATCACTCTCTTCCACCCGCCAACACCACCTGAGTTACTGATCCACCTCTGGTCAGAAATTGTATGTTTATTTTCTTTCTTTCGCTCACAAACTTTCGCTGGAAAATTGAATTCGATGCCCAGGGGCAGTGTAGAAAATTGGGCAGAATAGCTTACTTTCTCCCCATCCGGTCTTTTGTAATACTCTGTCCTAATGAATGGAAAAATAAGATATCAGTTGGAGATGCTATTCGGTGCTGGAACAGAGCCGCTTGCAATTTACAACTCATCAATTCATGTTTACAGTACAGGACTGAGCAGGGCGGTCCAACTGATGTCTAACAGGGCTGGGAATATTGAGAGGCACAAAAACCTATTGGAGATCTTTCAATCACCAATTCTATTATGAAAAGATGCAACCAAATCATCTGGTTATGAGTGAATACGGCAGTGACAGCACAGATACATCTTGCTCGCTTAAAACAGGGAGGGCTGAGTTTGGAAGCACAACTCGCTAATGCATGCCTCTGTGTTTCACTGATGCGTCCCTGATGAGTGCCATTTAATCAGTTGCAAATGCTCTTAATTACAAGATTAGTCTCCTACCAATTAGCCAATGTGCTAATGGTTCTAATCTTCCTCTAGCGTCGGCTGCATTCTAATTAGAATCTAACTGTTTGAATTCACCCAGGGCCCGTCGGATGGGCCATTACCAGCCTAGTTATCCTCATATAAACCAATGCAGCACCACACACGTCCCGTTTGGAGAGCAGCTGTAGAGGCTTTATGGCCATCATGAGAGCAATTTCCATGCATCATGAAATGACAATGTTTCCATTTCCTCAAAATCATAGCAGCATTCAGATGACTCAGCCAAGAAAATATTGTTCACTGCTGCGGTGCAAGCTGTTATAGAGCCCCTGTTACCCGAGCTGAGTTTAAGATGTAAGAGAGGGCTGTAAACTTTTATTTGATGGCAGAGCTGTGTTTGTGTGGAGATAGAGCATGTCCAACGGCTAACCTGCGAGAAACAGAGATGTACGAATCCAATATTGAATGCATTTATGTTTTGGTATTAGGATTTAAACTTACAACTCTAACGATATAAGCAGATATGATCATTCAGACACCTTTGGATGTCTTTGGATGTTGAATGTGTGTGCTGTAAGAAGAGTAACATTACATTAAAGCATGTCGTTACCTGCCCTGCACTTTGATATCCGAGATGGCGTAGAAGTATCTGGACAGGTTGTTCTCGTCCACCATGGTGGCCCCGGTGGCCGGCTTCAGCAGCTTCACGCGCAGGTCTGTGATGGTGAAGAAGTCCCTCAGGTTCTTGGTGGTATCCAGCTGCCCGTACAGCGACGCCATGTTGTGAAGCCTCGGACCGGCGAACAACGCAAAACGATCCTTTATCTCGAATCTCACGGTTTTATCATTCTTCCACACGTAGCCTCTGGAGTAGTCCTCGGTGCAGATAATGTCCAGCAGGGTGCGCTGTGTGAGGTCCTTCACAGTTTTGGGCTCCATCGTGAACGCGTCCAAGCAATCGGTGGCGTAGAACTGATATGGAGTCCAAGTGCGGCCGTAATCCAAGGACTTCTCCAGGACCATTTGCTCGGGCCGGCCAGACTCAAAAGTTAGGACAATATCGTCTGTGAGTTCCACCGTTTTGTTCCAGGACAGAGTGATGTTGACCTGCAGCGGTTTGGGGTACTTCTTCCAGGATGTCGACTGCCAGAACGTGGTGGGATTTCGGCCTTCGAAGTCAAACATGAGCTCAGGAGGGTGCGCCAGCTCTTCGGTCAGGGCGTCACATTCGTTGTTGCACATGTAGGGGTTTTCCTGCAAAAATAAAGAGGATAATTTTGAGTGGGTAATCTCTTATAGATTTTTTGCTAATGTTGCCCTGAGAAAATGCAGCATCAACTCTGACATGGGCTTTATTTTGTGAAACAGAAACACCCAGGATTTGGCAGGATTTGGCAAAGTTGCTAACATTTGCTCAGGCAAGGCAAGTTTATTTGTTTAGACCAGTTCATAAATGAGGCGACAAAGTACATTCCAAAACAAGAAAACAAACATTAAAATTACAAAAGATTACAATACGTTAAACATCCTTCAGTTGTCTGCACAGCTGAACATATTTTTGGGTTAGGGTTACCTGTATTTAAACATTGGCAGAATAGAAGCCATCTCACATTTTCAGAAAGACTGTTCCAGAATTTATTTGTATAAATCTTAAACGCTGCATCACCATGTTTAGTTATTTATCTGGGCACCACCAGGAGTCCAGTCCCTGTGCTCCTCAAAGTCCGAGTTGGTTCATATGGAGGCCATGGAGAGACTTGTGCACAAGCAGAGCTGTTTTAAAGTCTATTTTCTGAGTCACATGAAGCCAGAGCAGAGAACTGAAAAAATTTGGTCGTAGTTTGTGGTTAACAAAAAAAAAGAGGCAGAGCCTTGTGAAACCCCTTACTACAACTGAACAGGTACACCTTGATTTTTTTTTTTTGTCAGCCAATATAAAATTTAACCAGATCACTGTTAAAGGAGCAGAAAACATCTGGCCAAAAGTGGTACTGCAACCTCTCCCACTCATCCTGGCTCAGGTTGCCAGATATGCAGACAAATCCAGTTGGGACCATAATAACTGAATAGACAAAGGTTTTGTCAACAACAAACCTACAGGTATAACAAACACCTTTTTCACAAAGGCCCTGATAGAAATCATTGTTTCATTTCCTGTTTTGTCATGAAATATTTGAGAATCGTAACAAGACCTTTTTTAGCTCTGCGTCCACATGTTACTTTACCAGTGAGATTAGCTCGATGCTTTGAGTTCTGGCAACCCGCATTATGGACTTGGTGGATAATGGTGTCAATACTTCTATTGTGCGATTAATGCAAGTGTGTATTTCTCTTAGCTGCATCAGTGCACGCCAAAATCACATGGGCTGATGAGCGCCTGGTCGCGCCGCACATCAGCGTCCTTGTGCATGCCCCAGGATTTTAGTAGTTTCAGAATAGTGGGAGTCCTAGTGTTAAGAACGGTCCATGTTGACCAGCAGCACTCTAATTCCTGGTATTCCTCACACCTCTCACCACCTCTCACCACACTAAAGTCCATTTCATCCACCCTCTCCGTTAGCATCCGCTCAACCCTTGAATTTGCAATAACCAGTGAGTATTTCTCATTAACATGGCAACGTTGATCCCATATATCCATTTTAACGCCATCCCTTACCACCCAAATTGCCAAAGTAATTGATATTCCTGTGTGGTCGTTGCTGCACGGAGATGGGAGCGGAATGTTGATGAGTATCTTTATGAAACACGCAAAAGGGACATGCATTTTTCATGGCTGCTCGTCTGCTCTGTGCAATCCAATGAACCTCTGTGTGTGGCGGTTGGAGCTGGGAAAAAAGGACTACTCGATGTGCCAGTGTTTGTTTGTGAGGAAATGGGCGAAACGGGAATGTTGTTTTATTCATGCAAACGCAAGGAATGTGGTTGTGGGAAGCCAATATAAGCACAGATCCATACGAGGAAACAGTTGAGATATGCTTGGCAACCAAATTGTGTAAAAATAAAAAAACACAACTATACCTCGTCTTGTTCTGGTTTGAGATAAGATAAGATAAAATAAAATATATTTTTTGTCTCCATGGGACATTTTCTGTGGGATACAGTGCTACCCAGATCTGCATGAAAAGCAACAAAAATAAATAATAAACATCAGAGTATATAAACAGGAGAGTTCAGTAGAGCTTTGAGGTCTCTGTTTCGTCCAATTATGGATCCGAAATAATAAATAGGTCCTGGAAAAAAAGTGAAATAGTTCATTCAGTTTTAGCATGTATTGTTTATTTTTATTTATTTAAAAGGGCTTCTGTAGTTGGGACAAAGAAAAGCTTGCAGCGGTTTGTGCCAAACAGCCCTAAATCAATGTCCCGAGGGTCTCATATTCCGCATGCAGGATCTGTTGGGGGGTCATTGAAATGTTTTTGAGAGAGTTTTGTCTGCTTGTAGTTTAACTGAGTTTCCCCTGGTAAGATCTCATCGTTTGCATACATTGTGGAAAGAAATCATATTCTTCTGATGCCGAAAAAATGTAAAAGTCAATTCACCACCGTGTCTTGTGGTTACCAAAACTAAGGATTAGTGGATGCACGTAAATGATGATTTCTAAAGAGTCAACTCTTTCAGGAAAAGGGGAGGAGGTGGATTTCAATGGGAAACTGAAATGTTTCCCATTGGAAATATACAAATGGTATATTTGATTCTCGAGTAGATGAGAAATGCAATCTCTATAGTGGGTCTTATTATCGTACTGCATTTCGTATTTGAATATATGCTTTTGTATTTTTTTATATATTTTTTTAATTTTTCGCTAAAGATCAACATTTTGTAAATAAGTTGTCTGTTGTTTTGAATGTTGTGTATTTAGTCAATCCAAAGTTTTAGTTTTAGTCAGTTTTAGTCATTTACATGTCATCATTCATGGGAAAGACACAGTATCATTCTTAAATGTTGGATTTGTTTAATTTAATAATAAGGATAACTTTCATGGATGTGTTTTTGTATTTTCACAAATTATCATTATCATCGTTTGTGTGGACAGAATTAAATCAGCTTTTTTTTTGTTTAGGTGACAAACGATTATTTTTAGTCATTAGAATTAGGCATCGATAAAAAGGCATTCTTTCAATTGTGGGGAATAACCATTCGTACAAAATACAATACATACAATACTCTGAATATATCTGACTCATTCATAAATAAGAGTCAGATATTACCCCATCATTTCCCCATCATAAAAGTACTTGAATTATTAATATTCTAAACTAAAAACCCTGTAATATCCTGGAGGACTCTTGAGTGCGGAGCGTGTGCTTAACATTGCCACTGGTTAGGACCACAGCACACCCCTCATGTGTATTCATGCTGTAACTTCAGATCAACCCACATTCCGGGCATAATATTGCGTGAGGAAACAGCCAGACGAGATATCTTTCAGCCAATTGACATTCCCCTCACCTCTGCTCCCCGAACAATGAGGTTAAGTGCTGATGAGATTCAGATCAACTGTAAAACCGCTCGATAATCTGCCATCACAGACACTCTACACGAGAAATTATCTAAAGGTGAAAAGCCTTATCAGCTGTGTGAGTCTCATCGATATCTATCCGACAGAGCCGCACTTCCAAAATCAGACATGCTGGCCCGAATGCAGATAAGCAAGCTCCATTATTTCACCACAGCGAGACCTAAAAGACCTATGTAATGTCTTTTTGAGTGAGGAGAAAAGTTGCATTTCTGGTTTTATCTGCTTCACAGAAAAGACGAGCGCAGAGTCGTGTTTTATAGATAGAAATCAGCATATCGCGACCTCACAGGAAATAAAACTGCTATCAGCCGTGAACTCCACAAGCAGAAAAAGGACATAAGGAGCTAAACGCAAGAACAAGTGTACGTGGGTCAGTCAGGCTGCCACTGCTGACTCACGGCCAATTAAAAGGCTAATAAGGGTTACTGAGAGATGGAGGAATAGGCTGCAACTATGTGTTTTGAAGTAGATTGCAGATAAGGAAGTGACTATAGTTTTGTGTCAGAGAGAGAGAAAAAACACTATTTATAAAGGAAGCCGACCCTAAAGAGATATGAAAGTACAGTCAAGCACAAGTGTGATTTTTGCAAGCGAGCAATCCAACTGAGTCCCTGTATCTTGGCTTCAGAACTATACTTTTCATGATGTGTTTAAGAGTAATTTTCAGTTTTGCGATAATTAGGCTAGGATTTCATCAGAAAAAAAGAAAAAACACATACATTCTTCTTCCGCTGTATCCGTTGCTAGGTCACAGGGGTAGCAGTCTAAACAGAGATGCCCAAACACACGCTTCCTTTAACCCACGTGGTTATAATTAATTTATGAACACAACCACAACCATAAATCCAACAAGATTTCAAGGCTGTGCAGGTGTAACTTTCTGAAAGACGACTGGAATAGACTTGACTTGTTCTGCGTCAGATATTCCAACAATCATCACAATAATTATTATGCAATATTTTGTCAATTATAATTAGACTGTTCTATCTGGCATTTCATATGTGTCAAGGGTAAATAATGTTTTCGGCCTGAAATACACCTTTGCCGAGAGAGTTTAATTTGTTCTTTTTTGATATATTTCCCAAATTTGAAAATCTGCAAACCCATCAATGTGACTTAAAAGAACCTATCTTAGTTAGAAAAAAACAATCATAAGCAATACTTTTGTTTTAAAAGTCAGTGTGTGACGTCATGGTGGAACAGTGACATCATGCTATTGCAGGACTGAGACAGGAGACACAAGGGGCGGAGTTACATGTTCGTACCAGAAGTTAGTAACCTGATATTAGCGAGGATGGATCTAAAAACAACTCCAGGGCTGTTTTTTAAGAAGGTAATAATGTCGTAACATGGATAAAAGCTTAAACAACATGTCTTTTTTGAAGTATGTATACCACTTCTACTGTCCATTTCTTCCCATACACAATACAATACAATTTATTCTTGTATAGCCCTAGGTCACAACAGAAGTCATCTCAGAGGACTTAACAAAACCATTGAAATCACCAACACAGGTCAGAGAATCAACAGTTAAAACACATGAAGAATATAAAGCACACACAGAAGAAAATGTCCATACATGTTGTAGAATGCTAAAGTGTCCTGATCATCACCAATCCTTTCTGTTGGACACTAACTGTCCAACAAGACCCTCCTGCATCGACAAGGAAAAACTCTTAAAAAACCCAGTGGGAAAAAGTGAGAAACCTTGGGGAGAACTAGG